CAGACAGAGGGAAAGCTTGGGCCCCGCCTTTGGGGATTTTTTGCTTCAGGGGTGGAGGGTTTGGGTTTTCAAGTTTCGGGTCTCTGAGGGTTCAGGGGTTTAGACTTTGGGTTTTCAACTATGCTTTGAGCTTTAAGGGGGAGCGGATGGCGGACGAGGGTATCTGCCATTGACATATGTACACATCGATCTGCGCCCCCTACCGCAGCACCATCCTCGTGACCTACCGAAATTTGCGAAAGAAGGCGTTACCGTTACAGATCTCAGGTTTCGAATGGTTCAGCCTTGAGGATGTTGTTACAGATATTGCTCTTATTCGGGCCGAAGTGGTGAATCGCTGACTCTGCGGCAGACGAGCTACAAGCTTTGAGGCTTGACAGTGGTTGCCACGTTTGTCCTTCATGCCAGGCGGAGCCCTTGAAAACCCTGCGTGACTCCATGGCTGCCATAGCACATGCTCCTGGCACCGTTCTCTTCCGGCATGGCTGGTCCGCACCAGCTGCAGACTGCATGGCTGGTGGTAGCATCCCTACTCAAGCTCATTTGAAAGGAAATGGGTGTTGTGTACGCCATCACATCATGCAAAATCTCAAGCTTCAACCGATGTGTGTGTGTGTGTGAATCCCTGAAATCAAAGGGCACTTCTTGGTTAAAAAGCAGGGGGACACAGCATATCACTGGGACTGTGTCCAACGAAGCTACCAGTGACATGGGAAGAGAGGACTGATCATCCTCTTGTACCTGCAAGTGCTTGTGGCACGGGGCTAAGCCAAGAACCCCGATAACCATGACGGAAATGTAACCATCTGCTAGCTACTCCCACCATGGAGTTTGCAAGTGTGTTTTCGACCGGCATTCTGTCAAAGGGCCGGGCGTAGCAACTGCTTGACGTCTTGAATGAACAGATCCATACCTTGAATGTTTTCCTGCTCAGCCGCTTGATGATTGCCATGCACATTGAATGCAGCTGACCAATTGAATGCCTTCTTGAATGTTCCAAACTTGATTGATACCTTGATTGACATCTTGATTGACCAATGAATGTCAACATTTGAATGTCAAGTTGAGATCCTTTTTCAGATTCCTATCGACGTTCCGGAAATCACTGACTTCCAAGCATGTCTTGGACTCAGGAAGAATGGGATTCGTGGAGAAACGGAACCTGGGGCAAACAGTCTCCTCCGGTACCGACCACACCTCGCAATGCTCCGAAAACAAAAGAATGCCCTCATGGCCCCTCTAACCATTACGACACTGATCTTCCCCGAACTTTTCGTAGCGATCGTGATTTTTATGAGACCAAGGAGGTGTATGGATTACAGTTCCCTCGCCAAATACAGGCATCCAGCTGGGCTCAAAGGCACCAGCTTGCTGGCAGGGACCTGACTTCCATTAAGTTGCATGAGGTGTGCTGGCAAGGATGGAACAATTTCTCTCTTCGAAGCCTGGCCCAAGGCCGGTATACGAGCATTCTTTTTGCTCGATCCATCAAAGAAGCCACATTCATGTCATTTCTGATGCAGAAGTTCCGGGAAAACAAAGTGGACCTGGATCAATATGCTTCTGTGTATTGCGATCAACAAAGCATCCATATCGATGCAACTGAAAGGGAGTCCGCTCAAAAAAGTGCCAACATGCAGCACTTCTGTGAATTCATCTTTGACCAGTGTAAAGAGTGTCAGCAAAAGGAGCTATGCGATGCCCAGGATCGCATCCGCGAGCTCGAGCAACAGCTTGTTGAGGCACAGAAAGGTGCCCCAGCAGCCGGGTCTTCGGTAAAACCAGGACCCAAGCGGACCTCAGATGCTAGTCAGAGCAGCGAGAATCCACGGAAACGCAGGCTGCGTATTGCCAGCCCAACAGGGAACGAGCCGACAAAATCGACTCAAACCCTTCTTGAAAAAGCTTTTGATCCTCATTTCCAAGCACAACGGGTTCTTGATAATCAAGCTCCTGTAACTGCTGTTCCCCAATCCACAATCCAGAATTTGAACCTGGAGCCCAAGCTCAAACAAGAGCTCTTGCAAAGCTGCAAAGCGGCTAATACCACTATAAAATCGCCTTCTGATGAAGACAAGGAGGCTCTACCACAAAGAGCTGCAGATTTTGGTTTTCCTGTTCGCTCATTACATGGAGCCAAGGAGGCTGACCTTTTGAAGATCGTTTTGGCAGCTTGTGCCCTGGCCTCTTGACTGGAGGACCAGAAGCACGATCTTGAGCTAAACAGCGAATGCCGGCAAAGGATGCAAACAATCCTTTCTATGGCAAAAACTTGCTTACAGGCTGCCATTTACGAGCCAAAGTTCATGCCTTGGCGTTTTGGTTTTCGGGTGTTGGGTGCTTTTGTGGTGTTGGTTCTTCTTCTTCGCCAAACAGGCACAGGAAAACTGGCTCGCTGGCGCCAACGATTTCAAGAGTTTGAAGGTTTTCGTGATCGGAACTTTATTTCTGCGATTTCGGTCGCACGTATGTTTCTCGAGCCCTTCGCGGCTTACATCTTGACAACCGCTCAAATTGAGCCCTTTTTCCAGCTCGGACCTGACTTTTATGTTGGAACCACAACTGTTTCTATTCAGAAGAGACAAGACACTCGTCTCAGAAAGCTTCGACAGCTGCTGGACTTAAAACCAGTCCATGCGGAGCTCGTCTTGCATTGGCAAGTTTCGCATCAGTGCCTCGGACAACTTATTGTCCTTCCTTTGGCAGCTATGCAATCACTTCGCCAAATTCGTACACTTGAACTTGCTCTGATTCAGAGGTGGAATCCACCACTGAATTACCCCTTCATCCTGAAAAAACGGATGACGAAAGTGGGTCCTGATTACTCGTGTACGATTCGACGAATCGTTTCATCCTACAACGTTCCTGGTCGTCGTCTGCACAAGAAACTACGTGCCAGACTACATAAGCTAGGAGCTTTATCTTTGTACTGTCCTGTGAAACAGGAAGTGCATTCCTCATGGATGATTTTAACGATTCTGGCTGAAAGGTCCCTCGCTTCCTTCAACATGGAGCGACGACTGCGGTCCTGCTCATATTCGCTACCGCATGTGTATGCATTATTTAGACTGTCGAACAATTTGGAAGAACCTCCCAAAAGCTTGGTGCAAAGCATCCTGCTTCGAGTGCTGACTTTTAAAGGCGGCCATGCTCCGCCGAAAGCACGCCCTGTCAAGATTCCACTCTTGTCCCATAGTGATTTCCGGGACGCCACCAGGAAGTGGTTGAAGACGAGAATTATGCCTTTTAAGGATTTCTTGATTCCTTTTCACCTGCCTCCGTGCCATGTCGTTTCTGCTGCCCATTCCTCGCTGGGCACCATGCTGACGAACCACCATGCCATGATGGCACAGTTTTCCTGGGACTGTCAGCCAATCTGTCGGTGTGCTGAATTCAGATGCAAGCAAACACCCTGATGTGGCTGGAGTGGTTCATCCAGGTACAACGGTGGGCCAAGCGTCACTTCGTACCCAATGTGGTTTTTTCTGACCGGGAACGGTTTGTCTGTGATCAATGGTCACGACACATCGTCAACAGCAAAACTCCACTTTCCTTTGACGATGTCAAGTACATCGAATCTGTCATTGATGGTTACGTGGTGCAAGGCCGAGACCATGCGCCCCATCATCTACACGTTTTCTGCCCTCTCTTCTACTGGCGAATACTTCGCGGTACCTTTGGAGATGAAGATGTTTACCTGCCATATCTTTTGACACCCAGCCAAGCCAGAGCTTTTCTTGGCAGCTTAACAAAGAAGGCATGGCTCCGACCCTACAGATGGGGAATGCAGGAAACAGCGAAGCTACCTTGCTCTTACCTGCTTTTGAAGCAAAAGAAGCAGTTTCTGGCCGCCAGACCGATCATTTCTTATCGGCATTTTGCCTTTGGCCGTCTTTTCCAGGCAGCGAGCAGCGTTCTTAACATTCTGCTACCTGTCGTTTTTCCTCAGAGCTACGGCCATCAACCACTACCTGAGATTTTCCGAAGCTTGCGTCAGTTTCTGTCCAATGCTGAAGAGGACATTGAACTCAAAGAGTTCAACCAAGATCTCGTGGGCTTCTTTACAAGCTTGCCCACTACACAAATCATGGAAGCAGTGGATCATCTGATTGATTCGTATGCTGCTTCGCAATCCACACCTTTTAGCAAGATCAAATTTACTGTACAGCTTGGAGCCTCTGAACCACGATTACGAATTTTTCAAGGCAGCTACAAGCGCCAAAGATCCAAAACCGGCGTTGTCTGTTTAAAAGACCTGTCGGCCATCTGTCAGCTTTCGCTCGAGACGTCCTTCTTTTCGCAGATGGGACGAATCTTCAAGCAAACAAGAGGATCTGCCATTGGCAATCAGATCTCTCCATCTTTAGCCAATGTTGCAGTTTCGTACAAAGAACATCAATGGTCCATTTCGAATCGTCTGGCTTTGGAAGCCCCACGATCACAGATTTACATCGTTCGCTATGTGGACAACAGGTTGGTGCTATGTTCTGAACAGACGGCCCAACGATGGTTTTTCCAGCAATTTCTTTCTCCATTCTTTTACGAACACCCGGTGGAATTACAGGCGGTACTTGATGGAGAGTTTCTGGGAACCACTTTGAATCCCAAAACTCGCGCTCTTGAGTACAGACAACCAACCGCCAGACATCAATTCCGACCTTTCAATACGGCAAGCACTGATGCTCATAAGCTTTCAGCAGCCTATGCCAGAATTTGTCTGGCAAGCCGAACAGCTTTTCCTTTTTCCCAAGCCGAAGCTGATGTACAGACTTTAATTCGGACATACACCAATTTTGGGTATGATCCTCAGCTTTTGGCAAAAGCCGTTGCATCTTTCCTCGAACAGAGGAGATCATCCTGAGCAAAACAAAGGCGGCACGGCATAATGCACAGTGCCACGTCCAAGATGTTGCCAAGGTTGCACATGCCACACCAAGCCTCCTTACACCACAGATCGGCTCTGGACTTTTCTAACTCTTTTGATTTGTCCGCCATGTCGTATGTCTTCAATTTCTTCGCTGGGACACCTAACCAGGGAGAGGATAATCCTCCTCCGAATCTGCCCCAGCAACGTGCAATTCGAGCGAGATCGGAGGATGAAGGACACCGCCGGCACCATCGTCACAGACGACACCACCGGCACCGATCACGCAGTCGACGAGATCGACGTGAACCTGACCAAGAACTGGTGACGACGGTCAGAAGACCACGGGATCTTCGTCTTTCACCAAAGCCGGGAACTGCACCGCCCGGAGACTAGACTTTTTCAGCTGAGGAAACCCCTTATCGGCGGTCTCCTCATCATGTACAGGCTTCGCCTCCTCGGCCTGATGTCCCTCTTCAGGGCAAAATCGGCCCCAGCAGTTCGAGTATCTCCTTCACAGTCTCTACCTGCTTCGGGCGTACCTCCTGGAAACTGGTACGGTGAAACTGCACCACCACCGGGACAATGGGTACCTCGGCCTCCGGGGCAGTGGCGACCACAGCCTCCACAACACCGAGTGCCACCTCCTGGCTTTCTTTCCTCAGCGACCACACCTACCGGTCCATTTTCTGAGGCCCGCAAGGTGCCAGAGTCAAGAAAATCTTTTCAAAGCCAGGAACCTAAACAACAACAAGGAACTTCTAAAGTTCCTATTGCTTCGGCTCCAATTAAAGAAACAGGCAAAAGACCTGTAGATTTCTCGCGAGCTCCGGTGACCCCTCCCAAGTCACCACCTAAGGTGCCCAAAGGTGCCCAAGGAAAGAGGTCGGAAAAACCCGGCGAGCCTGGCAAACCTTCGAACTTTGTCCCGCCTGTTCAAAAAACGGCGGACGAAATGTTGGATGAGGAGATTCGAAAATCGAATGCTCAGTCGTCCACTTTTGAACAAGAAGCCCAGGATTTGGATCAGCCCTTCATTGATGCTTTTTATGCCACAGGGAGCGAGCTGATCCAACAAAGTGGCATGGCTGAGAGCCATGAGACTTTTGAGTCCAAAGACCCTCTCACGCCTTTTCTTGCCTATGTGTTGTTTCTTTTGCATTATCGCAACAATTTGTTTCCGGATTCCTGGATGATTTTCAAGCATACCGAGATGCGAGAAATTCGCGATCGGAAGCGAGCCACTGTTGCATACTGCAAGCCCTGGTCTTCCATTTCCAACAGTGACGTTGATGGCGTGTGCCTGGAGCTTTTGGGGCTCTTTCAAGAAGCTCCGCCGCCTCTATCGATGAACAACGGTATTTTCCGTACATTTGCTAAAGCTTTGATTTCTGCCAAGCTCAAAGTGGGCAATCATTTCAAGCCCACAGCAAAGAGCTATCATATGGCCAGCTGCAATAGCAAGTTGTACTTGTTTGAGGTTCAGTCTTTTCCTGGACCTGAGCCCGTAGGGCAAACAAGCCTGGCATGGGCCCATTGCTCTGATATCCCAGGCTCCTGCGGAATATTAGCAGCTGGCCGAGTGATTCGGACAGCTGCTTACACTCTTGGCCTCAGAGATGATCAGGAGTCAATGTCTTTTTTTGGTCGGTGCCACACCAATCCTTCGTGGACCGAGAATTTCATCGAATGGGCTGCCAACCTCAATTGGAGCACCAAGAACTCCTCAGGCATTGTGTTCGGCGGTTTTTTAAGTGGACAGTTCATCAAAAGTCCATCAGCCAACACTATCCTTGAGAACTCCATGTGCCGGCTTCACCCAGCCGTGCACTCAATTTCAAAGGATAAAAGATGGGCCATCAGAGAGTCAGCTGCCCGCATCGATTTCATTATTGTTGTGGCAGATCAAGACTCTGCTGATTTTCCCGCTCCAGCGATGCTTCCGATGATTGCTGACCGAATCAGCCAAAGAAGCATTCAGGATACTGAAGCTTGGGGAGGATGGGCTGGATAATCGCCGGTCCCGCTACTGAATTCATTTTTGCAGTACTGCCGACATGCTGATGAAAATCAACAGCAACATGCTGCGTGCTGCCAGTCCTTTTATTTTAGGTTTTACATACATAACCATCAGCAGCTGCTCAAGTTGTTGTGGATCAGCCGCTGACCGCCTCACCCATGTTTCCTTCTGCGCCTTCATCTGTTTCGTCTGCTTCTTCGTGGCATTCCGCTTTTGATCCTCCTGAAGAAGCTCGCTCATCCCGTGAGAGGAAAAAAAGTCCCAAGGACAAAACTTCTCGCAAGAAAAGCAAGAAGCACAAGTCAAAGAAATCCAAAAAGATTTCAAAAGACAAAGACAAAGCAGATGTGAAACATCCTGCTGGCGGAAGGCTTGTGGAAAGCACATCGAAATCCATACAAACTGGCGATGTTGTGATCGACGCCATTTGCAACAGCAAACCTGTGCCACCCCGGAAACGGCAACATCTACTGTGTACAAAGGCCGTGGGGTAGCCAAGATGATGGCTCGTAGCGGTTTTCGGTGTGCATGCCATTATGTACGTGCACACCTATGTCCTGTGAAGCTCATAGCTGAAGAATTTGGTTATGGAGTTTCTGATCGCACTTCTGAATAGAGCTTTTTACCCTTGTCATCTGTCATGTCGCAAAAGAAGGGTCAGCTTTTGTACAGCAGTTTCGTTGCCGAGCAACCAAGATCGAATCTTCGTTCAAAGCAGTTTGCCTCGGCTTCTTTTTAGTAAACTACAATCTCCCTTCGCCACATGTCCGCTCTTTCGTTGGTCGTGTCCAATCCGGCCATCGTGGCGAGAGTTTTGTCTTTTGTTTCCTCACGAAAGCACATCTTCTTCGTCTACTTCAATCCGGCCTTTTGGGCTGAAGAAGATCGCGATCAACTTGAGTCTGCCGACTCTCCAGAATCTGATGAGCCTTTTCCTGACAGTATGGCTCGCATCATTTCTGATCGCATTCGCCGACGTTTTCGCCTTGTGCTGCCTGCAGACACATCGCTTGCGGCGAACAATCTCAACTATGGTTCCATTCGCGAACACTTTGTACAGCGAGAGTGCCCAGCACAGCCACCGGGCTGGCCGAATGTGCTGTATGTACCTGTCATGTACAACTCGGCACCGATGCCACAAGCCACCTTTTATGGTGCGATAAACCGAGTTTTTCTGCAATCAATCCTGTGTCTCTATAAAGGGACATTGTACATTGCTTTCCGGCAAATGCTGCTGCAGTCGCAGCAGAAAGGAATCCTTTTCGATTGGCTGTGCAACGATCGCGAGGATCGCTTTCGTGTAAGCTCAACTCTCATCGCTGATATGAGAGTTTTTCGTGTCATTTCACCCCTTGATGAGGTACCCTAACACCACCCTGTGCAGCGGAACGAATAAAACGTTTGCTGCTCCTGGTTCTTGCGCATAGGTTTTTATCTGTGATCCAGTGGCATAGAGTACTGGCTCTCAGAGAAATTCGCCATGGCTGATCGCAGCAGATCCCGTTCCCCAACGATTTCATGGCGCTACTACTGGACCAACTCCGTAGCAGCTGATGGGTCTTCCCATTGGTGGAAAAATTGGTTTCCTGCTACACAAACTTGGATCCAGAATCGCCTCACTGCAGATGCCAGGGGCATGCAAAGCCCCCAATCGTCTCCGACGTCATACTCGTCTGAGACACCAAATGACACTGTAGTCTCCAACTCCGTCCGGAAGCGGAAGCGCGATGTTTCTCCATGAGAGTCGACTCTGATAATTCGTGCATGTTGCCAATGCGTTGGCCAGTTGAGAGCAAACTGCTGTACCAAGTTTTTTGCCACATCAATCTTGCTACTCCTCAGAAGAGGAGTAGCTGTGTGTGTGAATCCCTGAAATCAAAGGGCACTTCTTGGTTAAAAAGCCGGGGGACACAGCATGTCACTGGGACTGTGTCCAACGAAGCTACCAGTGACATGGGAAGAGAGGACTGATCATCCTCTTGTACCTGCAAGTGCTTGCGGCACGGGGCTAAGCCAAGAACCCCGATAACCATGACGGAAATGTAACCATGTGCTAGCTACTCCCACCATGGAGTTTGCAAGTGTGTGTGTGTGTGTGTGTGTTCCTTCCCATGTCCTTCGTGTTCAGAGACCACTCAGACACAAGCCCAGATAAACGATGAATCCTTGCCTTTGAGACACGCCGATATGCCTCATAACCTCACGACACGTAGATTATGGATGTAAACATCCAAACACGAAGCCCGATGCAAGTCAAACGCTCCCAAAAAGGCACAACGACAGTCAAGACAGTAGTAGTTCGAGTCGTGATGGTTCCGTCAACCTAAGTTGCCCTAAGCTTTGATGCCCCGTGTCGCTCTTGTTTGCCTCGATTTCTTTGCAGTCGCAAGGATTCCCGAATTGGGAGCTGCCGCACAACCAGACATGCGTGCCGGCGGATCAGCCGCTTTCCAAAAAAATGCAAGCGATGCTTCCGTTTTGGGGCTTCAACGTCTCGGGTGGAGGCCATACATTCATGGCCACGATGCACTGCTATTGCTAGTGGCAGGATGAGTGAGGTGCAGGTGTGCTTGCACTGTTAGTACATCTTGCGGACCTGTGGCTTCAGAAGTTGGCAGGAACGTTCCACGGCCCTAGCATCGGATACATTCCGAGGATTACGTTCTCGATTTCGGTCACATCTTCGGAAACCCCGACAACTCGACTAATGGCAAGTGCCCAGAGCAAGTTCAGGCCGTTCGAGCCTTCCCAACTGAAACCTCGGAGGGGGATTGCTTACACGTGAGACCAGCAGTTCCAACATCTCCGCAGCTGCGATTTCGAGCTCACCCTTCAGGCCGTGCCCTTGCGACCCCACCTTCGAAGAGCGCTGTGTCATCCTCAGGGCACCAGGTGACAGTGTGACTGCCGGGGCAAAGAAGTTGGGAAAATCATTGCGGTTGATACTAACATAGCGACCTTGATAATGAGCAATACTATTTTGGTGGTTCCTTATCATAATTTGAGTATAACGGGCCCCAAAGCCCTATTCTCATTATTAAGGCCGGTATATTATTCGCAGGATTGCTGGACATGCTAGACGTGTTGATATTGCGACGACGACGACTCTACTCACTGACTTCTGGTTCATGACTTCACCATTTGCTCTGCACAATTTTGCTAGTAGATTGGTGTTCTCTTAATCTCTTCTTAGCAACGGGGGCTAGTATTAGATTCTGATAAAAAATTTTGGGCTGAGATGGACTGGAGTTTCGAGCTTCGAGTTTCGGTGCGCAGCACGGTGCACTTGTGGGTGTACCCTGAGTCCGCCAAGCCTCCAATCCCTAAACCCGGTTTGAATCCCACAGCCCAACACCCAAAAGGGATCAGGGGACTTCCGAGCTCCTTAGATGAATTGGGTCATGTTATCCGGACCAGAAAGCCTCTGTGGAGGACTTTGGGTTGGGGTTAGGGCTGACAAGTCTTTAATATGGGAGTTTCCGAAAATGAGGGGTACCTTATTTTGGGCTCCTTAAAATATGGATCCTACCATTTAGGGTGCTATATTCGGGTCCCTTATTTCGGAAACTCCCATATACTATCGAGTGCAGCTTTCGAGACTTAGGATTCAGCCAACTGGAACTGGATTGCAAGTTTTGGGTTCTGGAGGCTCAGGAACTAGCAATGCTATGTCGGTGCGATTCGTATCTGCACGTCGTATGTGACAAAACCGAGTCTTCCCTGAGGCTTTAGAGAATGATCCAGTCCTTGAGGGATCGAGCCCAAAATAAAACGATAAATTTGCAGCCTTGACATCTTCCCCGGTTTCCTGAAACCCCCCAAAGCATCTGCCTGCAACGTGCCCAAAGGTGTAAACGAGTTTGACTCCTACTGCGAAGCGAAGGTGGCTTGCCGTTCATGCGGAGTAGGATCTCTCGAAGAGGGAAAACCCGAGACCCTACAGCTACTTGTGCTACACTTCGTGTCATCTGGCACGAATGCGATGCTACTACTGCGACGACTTCTACTCCTACTCCTCCTACTACTACTACCACCACTGCTGCTACTACTACTACTACTGCTGCCACTACTACTACTACTACTACTACTACTACTACTACTACTTCTACTTCTACTTCTACTTCTACTTCTACTACTACTACTACTACTACTGCTACTACTACTTCTACAACTAGTACTACTACTACTACTACTACTACTACCACTACTACTACTGCTACAACTGCGACGACTTCTACGCCTCCTCCTCCTCCTCTACCTACTACTACTACTACAACTACTACTACTACTACTACTACTGCTGCTGCTGCTGCCGCTACTGCTACTGCTACTGCTACCACTGCGACTTCTACTTCTACTCCTCCTCCTCCTCCTCCTACTACTACTACTACTACCACTACTAGAAACTAATGCACATACATCATCGCCAAGGCATGGGGCGGATGCCCAGTGTACTGCACTTCGGATCAGCCTTTTGACTGCACTGGGACAGGTCCTTGCAAGAGCCAGCACGTGGTAGAGGCGATCGTGGTGTTGGCAGCGGTGGTGGTATAGCACTGGAGAAGAAATCGCTGTTGGTGTAGATCCAAGAGAGAAAGTGTACGAGCCCAGCAGCCACTGTAAAACCTGGAATCCCTAAAGTACTTCCCAGAATATCTGGAAAGTATTCTACCCTACTAGAGGTATTCCGGTGTAAGGTTTCAGAGTATGAAGGAGTTCGGATCCCTGCATTGAAGCCAAACCCGATGCTCAGGATCACGTGCTGGGTAACGCCGTACAAGGTCACTCGGCCATGAAACCGTCAGAGTGATGGTTTAGTGTTGGGGGGTCAGGGGTCTTGAGCGCCTCGACATAGAAGCACCTGGAGGAAAGCGTGTTCAGAGCAATGTCATTGCCCTGCAGCTCTAGGTGGGTGCATTGGCGACGTTTTGGGTCCTAAGATTTCAACCGAGTTCAGGAATCTTCGGGCTCCTTACGGCTGCCTGTAAGCCAGACATGTTGAGGATGATTTTCCTGGATACAACTTCCTCCATGAGACGTCGCGAAAGTCCACGGCTGTGTAGTCGAAGTCGCAGCAGTAGCAGTAGTAGCAGTAGTAGTAGTAGTAGCAGTAGTAGTAGCAGCAGTAGCAGTAGCAGAGTAGCAGTAGCAGTAGCAGTAGTAGTCTAAGTAGTACTAGTAGTAGTAGTAGTAGTAGTAGTAGTAGTAGTAGTAGTAGTAGTAGTAGTAGTAGTAGTAGTAGTAGTAGCAGTAGCAGTAGCAGTAGCAGTAGCAGTAGCAGTAGCAGTAGCAGTAGTAGTAGTAATTGTAGTGGTAGTTGTTGTTGTTGTTGTTGCTGTTGCATCCGTCGTGACAGTCACTCGGACGGAATGCCAGAGTGGTTGCCGCCATCATCCTCATCATCAGCAGCACCATCATCAAGTTCCCGATCAGTTTCCTGATGGTAATGATTCCCCACCTGTGTAACCTCCTGTATCTCAAGGCCGACGGCACCATCGACGACGAAGGCTGGACGGAGAGTTGTGCCGACGCGGTCGACGGACACCTGACTGGTCAAGATGTAACATACAGGTTGGCAGGAATAGATTTTGTGGGTTCAATGTCGTCGTAAAGCTGCGAGGAGTGTACGGCAATAAGCCAAACAAGTTTGCTCTAGCGGGTGTAGAGAGTGGTTTTACCGGTTGTAGTGGTTTTGCTTTAAGGATCTAGGAGTCTAGGGTTTAAAGCACAAAAGATGGCAGCGCGTCGAAGCGCTCAGTTCTGAGAGTTTCTTTGGGCAGTCTTTAGCGTCAACACTGACAGCATTTGCGGAACTAAAGTGCACGTAGTCGCTGGGCTGCAGAGGGCATGTGCGTGCTCGAGCTCTGAATGCTGCCGATCTGCTGGGTTCTGAAGAGCTGGAATCTCGTGCCCGTGATTTCATCCCTTGCCTTTAACGGGAGAAAGGATGCACCACACGGGTGGTGGCCCAAATTTTTCGAGCCTTGGTCATTCCAGTTCACGACGAGAACTACTGTCAGGTGGTAGGTCGCAAGCAAACCGCAAAGGCCATGATATTGTTCTCTCAGGCTTGTGTGTTCCCGAGACACTCCAAACCGTATTTTTCATCCCGAGAACACTTAAGGGCTTTTAGGCTCAATACCAAGCCCTGAACTACATTTCGGCTTGCAAAGGGTTCGCGAAGGTCTTCTTTCCCAACTGGTGTCCTTTCCCAGGTTGCCCTTGCAATCCTGCTTCTGGGCTGCGCTGTGGAAGTTGCTGCGGAAAAGGATGGGGGTAGTGGTAAGAAGAACAAGAAGATGACAAAGACGCTTAAGAACGCGGTTGTTGTTACAGGCATCACGCAACCGCGGTCTGCCAGATCAGTAGTACTGACGTTGCAACACATCTCGAACCAGTGTTGCCTCTAACCTTTTTCGGATTTGCGCTTGAGGTTACACTTTGCAGGATTAGGCCAGGGTCGGGGTCGGGTGATGATCTGCGGAACACTTAGACCTGGGAGCAGAAGTGCACCTACGCTGGTGTGCCTTTCTGCGAATCCATCAACCATGCATGCAGCTCGCCTGCAGCCAGAGCGGAAGTGCTTTTCAATTGCTTGTTCAAGGTTATGCCCTAGATCCTGACCTGCCTTGACCTTTCAAGGCCCGGTGGATTGCGGTGACAAGGGGACCTGCTGGCACTGGTTGTCTGGCAGCTCGGCTTCTTCCCGATATTGTATTGCAGCGGAGAGGCTTCAGGCAATGGCATTGGCGTGTCGAGTCCGTGTCGAGTGCAGCATTTCGTTTGTCCCGGCCCGATTTTGAGTTCGGGGCCATTTCGGAGTGGATGCAAATTGCTGGTCGGGCTTCAGGTTTTTTGGTAGGTTTTCGAGGGGAGCACTACGCAGCACCAGTTGGGGTAGTAGCAACTACGCTGTAGCTTACCGCCTGGCAGCCATTCCAGTGTTCCTGGCATACCCACATAACTTGTTCAATCAACGATGATCCTCATAATCGCGGTCAGGACTCGCGCAGTACGCATCAGTACGCTCAAGTGTTGTGCCCCCAAGCCTGCTTTGATCTCCTTCGGTCCTGACCGGACTGTGCAGCCGTCTGTGATCTGTGGTGAGGCCGAATGGCAACTTGTAGAGTCCTTCGTCGGCCTTGCGTGTCTAGTGTTTCACTTGGAGAGGTTTCTGCAGTACACTTGGGACCACGATGACAGATGTTTCCTACCACAGGCAGATCTCAAAAGCAGATGTGCGACTCCTTGGCTTGATTCTGATGGTAGAAGCTCCAAGTCCCGGAAACTCCAGGTCCCGAGTTCCACACGTAGCCTAGGATCTGCACAAAGGGTCCCACGACACAGAATGGAGCCGGACGGCCATTGCCATCCCCCTTGTGCTCCAGGAAATGAGTCCTGTGCGACCGATACCGGCTGTGTTTGCGAGTCCAACGAGATCAGCTGCACCAACGTGGACATGGGGGTGTTGGGTGTGAAGAAAGTAAGCGATTTGTGGAGGTATCTTGAGCTTCTGAGTGCACAAGATGTCCAACGTTCCTCAGATCGTGTCGCTGTTATTGAAAACGTTAGTTCTGGGTCCTGGTCTAGAAAAAGGAACAAATCCTCGTGAAGTCGGGAAAAATGCTTGGTTTCGAAAATTTAGATAGATGCGCTCCAAAGTCTTTCACAGCCCTTCTCTGTCGAAGCCGAAGAGGACACTGGCCTCACGGAGTGCTTCCCAGCCGAGACTTGGCAGACCTCTTCCTCGAGAAAGGGACAGAGCCCGCCGGTTTCGCAGCGTTCTGCAAGGCTTTTCGGCTCTTCGGTGTTTTTTCGGGCCTGGGGCCTAGGGTTTAAGCTGCGTTTCGGGTCTGGGTGTTCCTTGCTGGCGCCGGCCGAGGGCCGAGGGTTGGGCCCTGAAGGGCCTCGGGCACTTAGCTGCCTTAGCTCTTTGCGCTTTCGGACAGCGTCTAACGTGAGATTTTGCGAAGTGGTTGGGACCTGGTTGGTGCAACTTGCAGCGCAAGTGTTGCTTAAGACTCTGCTCGGGGAGGTCGCTTTCGAGCAGTATCTTCAAGCCCTTTGGACACAATCCCCTTTAAGAAATACTGGCATTATTCTTGACCCAGGCCTTGTTTTTGGTGGTTCTCGCTTTAGACGCTGAGGAATATTATCCCAACGGCTGCCCTCTCGAATGCAGCCACGACCAGATGTCGCTCGGAATGGCCTAAAATCTTCGGATTCTTTGAGGGCTCCCAGAAAGGGTCTCTGTAAGGCATGCGTCTTTGCATGAAACCTGCCATGTCAAGCCCACTCTATCAACCTCTGCGGCGGGCGAACAGGAAACCTGAAACCTCCAACACTAATCGATACTGACAGTAGTGAAGGTACTTCGGTGATGACAAAACCTAATGTGTTCATACCACGAAGCCGCCCAAACCCTACTGCCAGGCAACCTGATTGAAATGACGGACATGCCCGTCGCGGCAACAGAAAACAGGGCACTGCAACAGTGAAGGAGACAACAGTGAGGGAGACAAGATTTTGGCACGAGTGCACAAGCCCTAGGCCCCTAAACCCTGCAGGCCAGTAAAACCCCTGAACCTCAAGCCGAAAAGGTACTGCTCCATCGTGTCCTTCGACCAAGACGGCTTGATGTGTCTCAGCTTAGGGGTTATTGTGGTGGGGTTATGTTCCATGCGACAATGCTGCGCAAGGGGACTGGACTCTGTTGCTCTAAACCCTCGTGGTACCATCTTTATCTTACGTACGCACAGGGATGCAAGGCGCAGGAAGTCTGTGTAGAGAAGATTTTGGACTGGCATCGGATATTGAAAGGCTAATGCCAAGCAGGAAAACCCTAAACCCCAAAACCCAAACCCTAAAGCCCTAAACCTAATAACCTTAGAAAAACCTCTTTGAGGCTCTGGGAGGATTACTGCGAGGACGGCGAGGCCAACAACTGGCATTGCCCGGTGATCTGCAAAGCCGACAGCGCACAGAAGCCCGGAGCTGAGCCATCCTTGTGTTTTGGGTACTGCCCCCACTCAGTAACAGTTGGATAATATTCATATGATTATAGATATACTAGGACCTTAATAGTAGCCCTATCATAGACTGTTACGGTATGGGGAGCTGAGCCATCCTTGTGTTGTTTAAGTTCTTTATGGGGAAGCGGGGGCCCTGAGGGCCTAGGAGTGCTTGGAAAAAGTATCCACTTCAAGGGCTCTTTGAGAGGTTCTACAAGGCTTAGGACCTAGGACTTTACTAGGGCTTTGCACATTGACTTCCGCTTCCACTCACCCCCTACATCCCCCTACATTGCGGCATAAAGCCCGCAAACCCTGGAGAAACTCTTCAGCCCTGAGTTTGCCTTTGATGGGGCCTAGGGCCCAGGGGTTAGCTTTAAAGGCCTTAGACCTACGGTTGATGATATAAATCCTGCATGGCCCATAATAAGGAATATACCATAATTCCCATAGTTTAGGGTCCTTAAGGTAATGCAGGATTTATATCATCCACCGTAGTTTAGCGCTGCAGAGATGACAGCGGTTTCGCTTCAGGGTTTCAGGGGTTTCGTCGCAAGTCGATGTAGGATCAACGGTCGGTCGAAGGGCTTTAAGGGAGTAGTAGTGGTAGTGGTAGTGTTAGTGGCAGTAGTAGTAGTAGTAGTAGTAGTAGTAGTAGTAGTAGTAGTAGTAGTAGTAGTAGTAGTAGTAGTAGCTCCACGGTTTGAGGGACTAGCACTCCAGGATCTTGTTGTCGGCGTCCTCCTCGTCATTGGCGTAGTGGCAGCAACAGTCGTGGCACCATTGAACTATGCAATTGCAAGAAGCAGAAGCCAGACGCAACAACAGAAGGTTACCAACGCTAAAGAAAACAAACGGTGATTTCCAAGGGCTTAAGCTCAGGTGTGGAACCGGATTCGACGAGTACTGCGTATCCCTCGGAGAGACTTGCAACTTCGGCGGCGTTTAAATGCGGTATTTTCTAGGGTTTTTGGAGAGTGAAGATAGTCGCAGGACTGTCGTCTGGTACCGCTGCTTGGGTTTGGAGGTTATCATGGGTTGCTGCGGTTCGGGATGGTGTTTTGATCTATGTGCCAACGGCTTTGGATTTGGCATCTGTTGTCCCAGCTACGGCTGTCGCGCGGGCGGTTGCATCAACTCCCACCAGCGACGGGAGTTTGGACGTGGCAGGGTCGCAAACGTGATCGGCAAGGGAAGAGGGTGTGGCATCTTGATCTTCCTGGCACACTTCACGCACCAAATCCGCCCCAGAGCCGGGAGTGCGGCTGCACTTCTCACACGCACAATCTGGGTAAAACCTCGCAGAAACTGTGCAACAACCCAATGTGTACAACCTTGGAAGCGCTGACTTACCGTAAGCAACCCAAAACCCTTTTCTAATGACTAAGGCCCCTATATTATAGAACCCTATTATAGATCCTATTATACTCGTCGAAGGGTGTGTTTTTACCCCCGTCGCTTTCGTGCCCCCAAGGCCCAGTCATTTGCGAGGAGCAGTACTGCTGGACCGCAACTCGGCGAGGTTTAACTTAATGTAGGAACCTGATTAAGAAACCCTTTGTCTATAATCCCAAGTAGTAGGATTCATATAAGGAGCCCAAACAAAGGCCCAAGGTTTCTGAATCAGGTTCCTACATTAAGCAAAAAGGCCTTCCTTCCTCCAGGGTCTCAGCCCCCGGGTTCACAAGTGCTTGTGTTCTCACGGATCGCGTCTTTGGAGCAGTGGGGCTGTGCTTGTGTAAGGCCGTGGAGTCTTGCTTACGGATTTTCTTGTTGAGTTCTGCAGAACGTGAAGCTATACTTTCGGGTTCTGGGCCTAGGGGTGATTGGGCTGAGGTCGGGGGATTTAGCTACGCCCCACCTCTGAACCAACGAACCAACGCCGGCGCCAGCTTCTGAAGCTTGAGAACCCCAAGCCCTGAGCAGCCAAAAAACGCCCGAGGCCGTTAACACAAAAACACAAATCGCTGAGAAACCGCAAACAGCCTGAAATCCGCAGCCAGAAAATTACCTTCTTGCAGGAATTCAAAAAATCCTGGATCCTAAGGTCATCCCTAACTACTACCATGCTCTTCAACTACACCAACCCCTGTCGAAGATCGTAAACCCACAGCCCTGGTAGAACCCATAAAGAAAGGCTGATAGAAACCCTTACAGAAACCCTAAAGACTCCATCTATCGCTGCTAAAAACCCCAAATACTCCTATAAAAGCATCGCTTGAGGAAGCCCCCAAAGGATGATCCCTGGAAGCTTAAAGCCATTGGAAAGCTTTCTGCCTCATCAGCATCCGTCTCATTCCGAAGCGTTTGAGCTGAGGACAACTTCGCGGCGAACGGTGATTGGTTGAGCACCACGGAGTCCTGCACGCCGCTCAAGGGATGGGATTTCGGGTTCCCATGCTGGCTTAGAGATGACCTGCTGGCAGCAAGTGGATCGTCACTTTGCACATTCCTGGTCGCACATGTACGGGCGTCCCTCCCCGACAATTCCCCAAGCAAGCCACACGTTTAAACAAAGAATGCCCTAAGAGAATGGCTTCAGACCGCTCCTGAAAAGAGCACGAGTCCAATCCCTTTCAGATGTGCACTGGGTAACCAGTCTTGAGAGGGTCAAGCCAAGCTATTACAGCGCTGAGACATTGCGTCGTTGAGAAGTGCATGGAAAATCCAGAACTCAGCAAGCTTCAAACCGCCAGGGGCACCAAATAGCTTTGAAGCTCGGGAAGGCTTCCGTTTCGGGAGTTCTGAAAAGTCGGCTACCTCATCTCCACAAACAGAACCATGGCAACAGTGCGAAGAGTGCCAGTTGTGTGCAAGCTTCCCACTGCCTCCGACGTTCGATCCCCAGGCGCTACCTGGGGCGAGGAATGCCCATGTGGAACAGAAGCTGTCCGCTGTCCCTCGCCATTTCCCCACAGTAGACTATTTTTGCTATTATTGCTCTTGCTCTTACTCTTCACGTCGCCACGGCGGCCGGAGTAGCAACCACATCAAAACCAGCAGGCGAAGTAGTCCGTCGCCATCGTTGATAAGAGCAGCAACACTCATGGTATTAACAATTAGGATCGCTACAACCTCATGCCAATGTGGCAACAACCTGCGAACCATTTGTAGCACTGAGACGTCTTCATCCGTTGCAACGAAACCGGCTGTAACTGTCCTACCTCAACGGGTCCTGCATCTGACTTCGGAGTATCGGAAATGTTGCAGTGTCGGGTGAAGGGTTTGCCCAGCAGCTTTCTGAGCCCTAAACCTTGAGCCCCTCGGCCATAACTTGCCGAAAGCTCTCAGGCACTGACCCAAACAATGCTGGCGACTCCTGGTGCAGTCCAGTCGCTCCACCACGCGTTGGTCAAAGGGACAAGGGGAAGCTGTGAGAATAAAGAAGCAGGATCGTAGTGATGGTAGTGGTAGCAAGCGGTAAGAGTAGTAGTAGCAGTCGTCGTCGTAGCATTGATAGTAGTCGCTGTTGCTGTTGTTGTTGTTGTTGCTGTGGTCGTCGTTGTAGTAACAGTCGTCGTCGGAGTGTTAGTGGCGGTGGCAGTGGCAGTAGCAGTAGCTGTAGCTGTAGTAGGAGTGGGAGTAGGAGTACGAGTCGGAGTCGGAGTGGCAGTGGTAGTGGCAGTAGAGCAGCAACAGCGAAGTAGTAGCAGTAGTAGTAGTAGCAGTAGTAGTAGTAGTAGTAGTAGTAGTAGTAGTAGTAGTCGTAGTAGTAGTAGCAGTAGGACGACTCAGTAGGAGTAGCAGAAGCAGTAGTAACAGCTGAAGGAGTAGGCAGTAGCAGTAGCAGAAGCAGTAGCAACAGCAGCAGTGGCACTGGTTATCGTAGCATGCGTCGCAGTGGTTGCAGCCGTCGTCGTAATCCTGGGCCTGCAAGCCTCCGCAACCCTCATGCTTTTAGGCTTTGGGATTGAATCTCTCAGCCTAGACCCCTAAACCCAAAGTTCTAGCGATCAGACTTTGCGGTCACCGAAGCCAAAGAAGCCTTGATGCCTGCAGCTTGAATCCCACTTCAACCTCAAGCTTAGGAGCCCCTGAATCCCCACACACTCTGCAGCAGAATCACCTTCAATATTCAACCGTGGACCGCAAGCGTCGACGAAGTCTAAACGGCATGGCAGACCTTCTACGGCTGCCCGCTCATCTGCAATGAACTCACCGAGAAGACGTGTCCGGAGCCCGGCTTTTTTGATTCACCCCCACAACGACGGGGGAATGTGGGATTTTGGGCACCCTTTTGGTGCAGATCCGATTCTTTAAGGCGTGTTCTGGTATCAGTCCTTGACGAGATGTTCTGTGCTCCTCAGCACGGTTCTCAGTAAGCAGAAGGACAGCCTTGAGGCGCGGGGCCTGAAGACACTGAGCCCCTTAAAGTCATCGTCTCAAAAGCCCGAAGAAGCACTACTACAGGGGCTTCAACAATTACCAGATTACCAAACTAATTTTTGGTGGTTCCTTATTCTAGTTATAGTACAAGGGGCCCCAAAACCCTATTCTAATCATGAATGAAGGCCCCTACACTATCTCAAAACTCTGCCGCGGCGTTCTGAGGCTTTCCCATCTCGTACACGCCGGAGGGTGCCCTTGTCTGCAGAAGATGGCAGAACATGTAAGGGTCCCCATTTTTCATCACGTTCCTAGAAGGGTCCCCGATTTTCTGAAACTCCATGCCTACAATTAGGATTGACGGCCCAGCTTGCAGCTGGCAACAGCCTGCAGCTTACGAGCCCAACCGATCTTAACTTCTACTGATTGGTTTAGGCTTCGGGCAAGGAACTCGGATTCAGAATTTCGACGTCCAAGTGCTCACGACCCGAGCCGCGGATTCAGTTGCCTTCTAGGGCTGAGGGTTCGATGGCGATCACCAAACTCCAAGAACACGGATCAACAGACCAGTAGTTTCAGATTTCAGCTTTAGAAAACTGCAGGAGAACGCAAAAAACGCATAGCCATTTCCGGCCTTGCGGAGCCTCCTTGCGGCCTTAGCCTCCCCTTGCGCTCAGCTCCTTTGAGGCGAGTTTGACTGGGAGGCTCCGGCGACGGAGAGCTGTCAGAACATCACCAGGTCAGGCCCTCAGACTTCAGAGTGTGAGGAAGACATGCACCCACGCGGAGAGCAGCTTCTCTTCGTTGCTAGTACCTAGCTTCTAGATGGCAGTTTTCTCTTCGAGCTTTATCTCGTTGGTGGCCGAAAAGACCCAGAGCGAGAGAGTGACAGAGCGAGAGACAAGACCATCTGCAAAAAGCGTGGGAGCACTTCCAACAAGGCTTCCTAAACCCCTGTACTGACCCGTTAAGAGCGCTCTTGTTCATTGACTTTGGGGTTGATTCAGGTCGTGCCCCTGCGGCGCGAATGCAAAGATGTGCCGGTGGACGGACGCTTTCCTTCAGAATTGGCAGGGGCACCAGCATATTCAAGACCGGCTCGTCACAAAGGGATCTTCGTCTTGGTTTGGGAATCCCGTTTCCGAAGACGGCTGAATTGGGGCTAGTGAAGTTCATACAGTCTGCAAACCCCTGCCGTGTTCGTGTTCAAAAGTCTCATGCGGTGTCGCTAATGATAGATACGAAGCCTCTGCCGTTCCTTGCCCGTCATGCTGCACAAAGACCACCTTGTTGATATATATATATATATATATATGATGCATAAAATACAAACATATATACAGATAACTTTTCATATGCACATGTACATATACAGATATGATATGTGAATACATCCCCGCAGATGCAAATATGCAAGAAAGAGGACCCGGCACGGGAGGACACCACACTCTCCGGCCACAGCATGTGTAGCTTCGGCTCGAAGCCCAAGCGACAGCGAAAGCTGAAGGGTGCTTTGGCCTTCGGGGGTTCCGGGTCACCCAAGTAGGACTTACAGGTTCGGAGTTATGCCATAGGAATCCACAGGGCTTCGTGTTCAAACCGAAAGGGGAAGACAACATGAACCCGAACATGCCCACAAACCCAAAACCTTCTTGGCGCCAAAGCCCACGGCCAAGAAGCCTCGCAAGTGCTTTTGCTTTTGACTAAGGACGAGTTCGGGCCGGGCACCCAGCGCCGAATCCATCGTTTACAGTTAGTAGCAGCCCTTTACCAAAAAAAAACCTTAATTCCGTAATCCCGGAAGCCCCAAAACCCATGAAATCCCCATACGAAGAGCCCCGGGGCGTTTTGGAGAGGGCTTCTTTGCGGCTTGGCGGTCTTTGGGTTTCAGAGAAACCTTAAAGGAGCGGCCCAGTGCGGCAAATCTTGATATCATTCGGCACAACGCAGCAATACCATAGAAACCCTTAACCTTTTGCAAAATCCGTGTTCATAGTTCATCCCTTTGTGATTGGTCTCCAAGCCCTTGTATACCCAATTTACTAGCAAATGTTCCTGCAGTCTTTTCCTCATGCCCTAAAGCTCTGGATATAAGAACTACGATTTTTTCATGTTTGTACAAAAGCATAATGATTCGTGGGTCAGTTACATGTAATCGCCTTCTGGCTAAAATGTGTACATAGATTGCCTTTTCTCCTGTTAACCCCATGGACTAGAACGTTCAGACCACTATAACAGATCCTGCAGAATCTGTTCTCCAGACCGCGTATTTGCTAGCTTCCACAGCCCTCAGCTTCCACAGCCCTCACAAAGCTGTTAGATGCTGAGCCAATTCCAGAAACCATACTGACTCCTTTCTGCTAGCTTTGACACTCCCGAAATGGAAACAGGAAGCGCTCCGGTTCTCAAAATGCTGTGCTTCCATCATCAATCCCAAACCCCAATCCAAACCTTGTCGCAGTACCCGTCATTCAGCTGGAGGCCGCAAGCATTCTTATACCCTGGGCCCTTAAACTTTGAAGTCTTTAAACTTTAAACTCTTGAACCTTTAATCCCAAACCCTTGCCCTGAACGTCAGATAAACAAGATAGCGGAGGCTGGAGAACGAAGAGTGCTTCCCGACGGCAGACAACTGCCCTGTGACTTGCACCGCCGCCCAGCAGATCTGCTGGCTCAATGCTCCTCGGACGATGCTAAGAATGGGGGATGGAGCCCGGTGTGTCCTCTGCGGCCATGATGATACCCAAAGGCCCCAAAGTAGTTCCTTTTTGGGGTTCATATACAGAATATTACCCAAAAAGGAACGACTATGGGGCTTTTGGGTAGATTTCGCAGGTAGGCCAGTAGCTTCGAGGGGCAGTCAGGGCTCGGGCTTTGGGCATCTGGGGGGGGCTGATCTAAACACTAACATCTTGGGGACAACATATTTTTCCCCAATATGTTAGCGCTAAAGGGGCCCTATCTAAACCGGCGTTTGTCCGACCTCAGCACCAGTACAACCGCTTCCTGGCCTCGTTTCATTGCATGGCCTCCGAACTCTCATGTTCCGCCGTCATGATGCGTCGACCCGGTTCGACCTAAATTCTAAAGCTTTACCCACAAGCAAAATCAGACCATTTGCTGGATATTCGAACCAACATGGTCATTTTCTTGTACCACCGTGAACCCAATCCAGGACTACGATGCCTTCGGATACCCAGCGGAGTTCCGGGAGGTCTGTGCTCCGGCCGGCGGAGAGTGCCCCTGCGGTGACTGGGCCGCAAGTGGTCAGGGGGCTGTCAACTCCCTTCCAAGAGTTATGCCCGTCCGTGTATACATATACATATGCATCTACAACGTATGTCCATATGTACATATATACATATATATGTAACAGTTATGTAATGCTATCGAGATCAACATGTAATCGTGCATGCATGCATCTGCACACCCTGTTTACTGTATTTTCGCTTGTCCGCGCAGCTTACTTGTTTACATATGCACTACATAGGCACCCACAAATGTTGTCCGACCGCTTTACTTGATTCCTCATTCTCCATGTCTGCAGTTTGGCTACCCCCACAACCCTCAGGCCCCTTATATCCCCTAAACCCTGAACCCCGAATCCCCTTTAACAGATTGATCTGTATCTGTTCTTTAACACTCAAAGCTTGAAACCTCTCCCTTCAAACCCCGAGTCAAACTCGATGTTCTCGATTTCGCGGAGAATTTCTCAAGTGTCACCTGACGGAGGATCCCAAAGAGACAGAGACCCAAGAGCCAAGAAAGACCAAAGCAAAGCAAAAACCCTGTTATAGAACCCTATGGTACCCTTTCAAGGGGACCTTATTCTAGAACCCTATGGTACCCTCTAAAGGGAACCCTATTTATACAACCCTATGGTACCCTTTAAGGGATCCTTTAGGACCCCCAGTCTCGAAGGAGCCCACAGAGCTCTGGCAGGCAGTGCTTAATTCACAGCGGAGTGCTCGATGGGAGTTTCCGAAAATAGGGGACCCTAATATGGTACCCTGAATAGTAGGATCCTTATTATAAGGATACTGATACTGATACTTTGGGTACTGCCCCCACTTAGTAACAGTTGGCAATATTCATAATATAGATCTATTAGGACCTTAATTGTAGCCCCATAAAAGACTGTTACTGTATGGGGGCTGTACCCAACTGATACTGACGGATCAGACCGAGCGCATCTTCGAGAAATCTGTCCTTGCCGAGGTAGCAACGCCAAGCCATGCAAGGACCAGTTCGGAGCTGCTGGGCAGACACTACGAGGGTGTCAGGAAATGCCACGTTTTCCCGGATTCCCAAACGGAGCTAGAGTTAAGGCCCCCCAAATCCTTTTCTGACTGTTGCTTCGATTCACTTCAGAGGGCTTCAGAGCAACTCTTGGGTTTCCTGGGCTGTTTTGCAGATTTCAGCCCCGTGGCAAGGCCGGGCCGTGGGCCGTGGATTATAGGGTTTATAGGGCTTACAGGGTTTATGGGGTTTAGGGTTTATGTGGTATATAGGGCTTAGAGGTTTTATCGGGCTTATAGGGTTTATGGGATTCTGGAACATGACTTACGCTCATAGCAGTCGCGACTGATGCTGTGACTGTTCGTAAGTACCTCGTGCAGCTTCGTGGGCTGTTGAATTTCTGCCTTGCGAAGAAGCAGCGGGGCCTAGTGAAGTCTTGAAGCCAAGCAGAGGGGAAAGTGGTGGTTCTTAGTGCACTTCTTCATTCAGGGTTTCCGCTGCACAACTTCGGCGACTTCTAGACTTTGAGGCTGCGATTGTTTGATGTTGAGCATCTCAGGATACGCACTGCTACCCACTGGTGGACTGGGAAACCAACGGTGCCCCTGAACTGCGGGGATTTGGATTTGGCAGCGCTCCGGGATTCTCGAGCACTTGTCGGAGCGCGCAGAGCATCAGGGGTCGCTAGGTTCCCACAAACCGCCGGACCAAGAGAAGGTCGGAAGACTCCTGAAGCGATGACCACAAGAAGGAAGGCAGCAGAATAGAAGCAGTAGTCAGCAGAAAGCTAAGAGCATTTGTCACCTTGATACGACGCACCAGCGAGAGCCATAGAGAGGACAGCTGCCCATTTTTCGTGTTGCTGCTTTCCATGGGGTTTCAGCTCTACCCTCAGCTTGAAGCACAGTGCCTTAAAAGATGGCTGAGACCGTGTTGGGTTTTGTCGACATGATGGTAGCATGCTTGTTCCCCAGTGCTCTTGAGTTCAGGTGCCCCAACCCAAAGGTTTCAAGCGAAGTCAAGCGCCTCACAGGCTTCGGAACTTTGGAGAGGTTTAGGCCTGGAGCTTCTACGTTTACACTTCGACATCTCTTTAAGGGATGCAGCATTTCACAGCTTCGGTGACTTCTCGTTGTGCAGAGCTTTCGTTCGACGGCAAAGAATAGCTGAGCTCGCGAGAAGAGAACACAAAGAAGTTTGCTTCTTGTGTTCTTCAAGCTTGGCCCCATGGCTACGACAGTTACGACGGGACAACGGGCCTTACACTGTGGTTCTTGTAGCGCTTGCAGAGGTACCGTGCGCTGCCCTGTGTTCTGCGACTTCCTGACGCAGGAGACCTGCTTCAGCCCAAGCCACCTGGACTTAAAGCTTTCTGCAACGACAGCCGTCGATGACGAAGCTCTCGTGCAAGAGATCTCTTTTCGGGAGTTAGGGTAGGCTCAGTTCGGTACCCTGTCCAGCCCCTGATGGAGGGCCCCTTGAAGTGTTGCAAGTCTCTAGACATGCCGTAGGAAACTCTTGGAGTGCCATCGTCGCAACATTCCGATTGAAGGGTGCGGGTCTTCAAGGGGATCCAGGGCCTACAGAGGGTGTGTGCTGCAAAGCTTCGCAGGCTGGTGTACTCGATATCTGAAAAAGGGTATCTTAGAGTCCAAGCTTGCTTTGCGTCGGTTGAGCGAACGAAGTTGTTAGGGTGATTAGCTGGGCTTGGCTTACTGAGGCATGCCTGTTTGAGCTCTGAGAACGACGCGTCGCAACACGTTTGTTCCTTGTAGGGGGTGAACTCGATGCGCTGCTCTGTACCGCAATGAGTCGAGAGAATGTATGTTGTGTGTGTGTGTGTGTCTCGACGAATTCGCATTGGATCATCCTGCTTCGGCTACCCAATGTGCCACATTCGCGCAAGTATCCTGAACGAAGAATTGCAGAATCCCCTGTGAATCTTCCCTGAAGATCTGTTGCGCATCTGGCCCTTTGAAGTATCACGGGATGTCTGCATTCTGTTAAAGGCAACCTTAAAGGGTTCCTTAAACGGTACCTTAAGGGTTCCTTTAGAGGGTTTAAGGGTCTTACGATCCTCCAAAAACCCGCACTTTCCCGGCCTTAGGCTTCGATTCCAATGGCAATTGGCTGAGCTCGGAGAAGTCTTGCGCCCCTGGGATTTCTTGGTGCAAAGGGCATATGGGAGTTCCCGAAATAGGGGACCCTAATATAGTACCCTGAATAGTAGGATCCTTATTATAAGGACCCCAAAATAAGGTACCCCGAATTTTCGGAGAATCCCATCCATCTAGTAATTTTGCATGACCCGCATTGCATTCTGGCATGAGCCCGCGGCTCTGTGGTTTGCTCTTGTTGTCGTTGTTGACTCGGACTGGTACAGTATGTTCGCTCTTCTGTGTTTCTGCCGTGCGTCGTATTCAATATCCGAGCCTCTCAGCAACGGAGCCTGGACATTGGCAGTCAACACGGGTGGGATCCCAATGTTTGAAGCCCGTAGTCCCGAGTTAGCATGTTCACGGAAGAACCGCTGTGCAAAATGCTTTTCGTCAGAGCCAGCATAGCCGTTAAGCTGTTCTTTCAGCTTGCCTTGCAAGTCGTTCAAATCTACTTCTCGATCTCTGTCGCTGATGGTCTTACAAGTCTTGTGAATGATCAACAAAGCCCGCTAAGCCCCCGAAAACCTGAAGGAAAGTCAAGAGAGTTCTCCGTTGCACACACCCTCTCAGAGCGCCCTCCCATGTGGGATTTCGACCTGCCGAAACCCTGCTTCTGAAAGGTTCCTTTGGGGCAAGCCTGCCCCTGCAGCGGGCAGAACTCCTTCGCCTGTACGGTGACCGTTGCTGGGAAGCATCCAGCAATGAAGCACCACCAAAACCAAGGTCCCACTCTCTTCCTGCGGTTGATGATATGAACCCTGCATTACGTTAAGGACCCTAAACTATAGGAATTATGGTATATTCCTTATTATGGGTAATGCAGGATTTATATCATCAACCGTAGCCTTCGTCTGCTTTCTACACGTCAAGGCGAACTTCAAGCGGATGCTGCTGTTGAGGATGCATAATGATGTATGGAGTTATGGAACCGTGGGTCCTGTAAAAAAGACAAAGACCCCCCCAAACGGTTCTTCTCACCTGCGGCTTTCTGTTTCTTGGGATCTTTCAAAGTCATGGCAGAAAGTTGAAATTCTGCATTTTCACTCTGCCTGCTGGGTTTGTGGAAAAGATTATGTGGTTACTTCTTCAGCCCTTGCCCTCAACGAGACGAGACAACAACCGACCGCCCGGAAAGAAACAACAAGCCAACACAGTGCGAAGCCATGAGACCTGAAGTTGTTGAGACTTCGCACCCACAGCGAGGAGTTTGGACACACCTGGACAGATTGCCTGCCAATTGGAGGACTCGCGATGGGCACATATTCTATGTGAGGGTTTCTCAGACATGCCTTTGGTTGCCACTCTCGGCTTGCCGCCGAGCTTGCTTTGCCGCTACTCTTGACTGTGAACCTGACCATTCCAACACCTGGCACCCGTTAAGCCCTGCATGTTGTAGTTATACATATATATATATATATATATATACATACATACATAGATACATACATACATAGATCCGGACGCATCACTTATAGTGTGTGCCTGTATCTACACAGTGTATGGTCTGTCTACAAAGAAGATGTGTCTAATCATGCGAAGCTCTAGGCTTTAAGCAAGCCTCAACGGCTGGAGATTAGCGAAGAGCACGCGTGAAAAACCTTGCAAGAATTCTGCCCGGCGACCTGCGCCGCCAACGAGGCCTTCCAGGGTTGTGGTGGGAGAGTTTGCTTCCTGCGTGGTAATCTAGTAATTATGTGGGTATAAAATCCAGATACACACACACTTAGATCAGGGTTCGAATATGATATAAAAAAACGCTCACTAAACTTGTTTTGGAGCTGTGGTGCAGAAGAGTAAAGGCCACGTTCTTCGAACGTTTTCGACAGGACTCGCATTGTGTTTCCAGTTCATAAAGTTGGCCTTGTCGAGGAGAGCAGACGTGCTAACAGCTAGGGACGTGATGTTTGCAAGCCTGAGCTGGGTTGGATACCGCGATCACCACGTTTCTCCTGGGTGAGCGTGTGCGGCGTTTTTGTTGACACGTGTTGGGTCGAGGCAAGCCTCGCTAGAATTTGGGTTTTTTGGAACAGCTTGAGGCACCTTGCATGACACCTGAATCCGCCTTAGACACCCGCAGACTGCCGAAGCAAGCCTTAAAACCCTCAAAGCGTACGGATGTTAACTTGGGCTACGCTCCCAGAGAGCTTGAGCCCAGAGATTTCGAAACCCTCAAAATAAAGGTTGTAAGGATCCTTAGCCAGGATATTGCGGTAGGTTTTATACTAGGATGCCCAGTAGTACCCTTATTCCCTTTTTGTAGTCCTAGGTTCCTTATAAAGTTACCCAATACCAAAAAGAGATGCCTTTTTTTTTTCTTAGGTTACTGGGTATCCTAGTATACACTTATGCCAGCTCAAAGATGCGATGAATTGGAGGACGGGCGTGAAGTTTCTGAGGTCAGCTGCCCCAGTGTGGAGGACTATCGACCGGACGGCGCCTTCCTAGGCCGATGGGAAGAAAGTTGGAATCCTTTCAGGGAGATCTTGAGGTTTCCAAAAATTCGGGGTACCTCATTTTGGGGTCCTAAAAGGGCCCCCCGTATTTTCGGAAAGTCTCAGGTGAGCTCACAGGAGCTCTTCTATGTCAGGGTCCCTTTCAGGTGCCTTGTTTCGGACGCTACCCTACTTAGTCATGCGCTGAGAAGGGACCATACCTGAGATTTAGGTTTTGGGCTTGAGGTTTTGGGTTTCTGGATGTAGCGCATCACAACAGGAAGAAGTGCCTGAGGGAACTGCGACAGGGCAAGGGGTTTGACACAGACACAGAGCGGATACAGCTTCATGGCTCTTTGCCCCACGCCCAGCAACCCTGAGCCCAGTGAAAGCTCGATCGTGAAGCCTCTTGACGGCTGACCCATCTATGCAAGTGCCCCGAACACTGCATCCAGCCCTGCACCGATACCCCGAACCATCCACCCTCCGCAGCCCTAAGCTCCTCAGCGCCCCGGAAACCTAGATGCCTGATCCCTGCCACGCCAAGACTCAGCCCTGAATCTCTCTAAGAATTGGTACCGATGTGGAGTTAAAGTGTTCCAAAGCTTTGTGGAGTGCCAGCAGTCACGCTGTCCCCAACATACTGCATGCGCCCTCAAGCCTAAGCCCCTCCCCTAAACCCTGAACTTAAAGCCTCCCCGAACCGTAAACCTGACACCCAAACCGGAAGCCAAGGATTTAGCAATCCCACCGTGCAGTGCGCTGCCGACCTGGCCAGCTGCCTCGCGACTGATGTAGGGATTGTAGGAGATCACTGATCACTACCACTAACTTTGCCGACCTCTATATGTATGGGTTTAAGGTTTTTGTCTCGGGTGAAACCAGAGTTCAGATCTAGGGCACATCTCTGCAGTAAAGCAAAACATGAACCCCTTAAGCTCGTTTCGTTGGGCTTCCATAAACTTTTAATCCTAGGGTCGCAGAGCTCTTGTTCGAGGCTCCCATGAAGGGAATATGTAGAAGGCCAACCTCGAGACCCTAGAATGGATTCTTTATGATTTCTTCGTTCCGACCTGCTGGGGATGAAGGCCAGATTT